TAAGATAGCCAAAACCTTGAGGGATTCCTGAATTTGACCCTCTACACTCCTCTCACAGGCACTTACACCTGTTCCCTGGCCATATACAAGTTCATTGAGCTGAGCTTTAATGCTATGTTTCACCAGGAGTGGCCACCGTTTCACATTGTCCTACATGTAAGATATTTCACAACTGAAGCTCGAAGTGAATGCCCAAGGAATCAATTTTATAAATTGAAAATAGATTTATTGTGTTTGTTTGAAGAGATGGCTTGCAGTGTGGCTCTTACAACATTCCTCTAGGGAGGAGCAGATTTGGGAATACTTAACCATCCAAATAGTGGTATATGGCACTCAGAAGAAGTATTCCTCCCCAAGCAGCACAGACTGCGATGTGTTTCCTTTCGGTTGTCGTGACAATCAGCTGCATACCAATTATAATTGGGGGTTTGTAAACAGCCAGAAGATTCCCTTGGAGAGAGCAATTATTTTCCCTTTAACATACTATAGGGCAAACACTGCCTCTAAAGCATGCTGTGTGCTGAGTGCAATGTAGATTTACTTTATTGAAGCTGAAGGAAAACCTTCAAAACCAAGGCAAAGGATCTTGGTGGGACAGAAACATGAGAAGGCCAACAAAAGAGCAGAGAACATCAAAAATACCATGGAATACTATCAATCAGGAGACGAACTGACTTGGCCCATCCAAATAAACATTAATGGAAGATGTTAAGAGCATCAATTTGGAGTTGGTTTTGTATCTATCTTACTACAATCCCTGTGTTCCTTGGAGCATGAAAATTCACCATGTGAAGGCTCACTTTCCTCTTCTGAAAAGTGGAAATAACAATGCTTACCTAATAAGGTTATTCTAAAAATCAAATTATAAAACATACCTAAAGTGTCTAGAACAGCAGGCACCCCCAAAACAATATCATATATCACATGTTATCACTGCTGACCCCATATCCCCTGGAACTCATTATTACCTATATAGATAGATAATGGTTTCCTACTGAGAGGACCTGCAGTTCTCTGCCTGGGGATTTTCTTTTAATGTTTTTATTGATTTCAGAGACAAAGGGAGAGGGAAAGAGAGACAGAAACATCAATGATGAGAGATAAGCATTGATTTGGCTGCCTCCTGCACGCTCCCAACTGGAGATCGAGCCTGCAACCCAGGCATGTGTGGAACCATGACCTCCTGGTTCATAGGTTGTCTCTCAACCACTGAGTTACTCTGGCAGGGCATGGCTGGGGATTTTCTCATCCCAGGTACATGGGGTGGGAAGAAAGTGCCAGGGAGTTAACACTTCCAGAACAGACCTTAGCCAATCATGCAGAAAATTTAGTGATAAATACCCATTTCCTCATTCCTTGTGCAGGACAGCTCTGAGGCTTGTTCCACTCTGCCTCTCATGGGTCTCCTATGGGTTTGATCCCCATTTGTCCCTGCGGGAACCTGCTCATTAGTGCACCTGCACTGGCTTCTGTCACTTCCCTGTCTCACTGTCTTACTTCCTGGTGGGAGCTTCCTGGGATTACCTCCAAAATAAGTCTCTGGCACTCAAAATCTTGATCAGGATAAAGTCCAATCTAACACAATACGCAACAGGCTTAATAATTTGGACACTTGGGTTTACAGGAAAATGTTCAATTCACTAACCAAGCCTTGTCTACTCAGCTTCCTTTCAACCCCTTCTCTTCCATCCCACAGCCACTGCCTCTACTGAGGCTCTTCTTATTTATTTTTTCTGCACCACAGTCTCTGATTGACCTCCATGCTTCCAGTACCTCTACTGTCTAACCCATCACCCACTAACTACCAAAGTTATCATCCTAAAATACAGTTCTGCTAATGCCAGTCCCTTGCTGTTGTTTTTTAGGACTATAGTGGTGCTCAATGCCTCCATAATTATGTTATATCCTATATAATAAAGAGGGTAATATGCAAATCAACCATACAGTGTAATGACCAGTCGCTATGACATGCTCTGACCAACAGGGGCAGATGCTCAATGCAGGATCTGCGCCGTGGTGGTCAGTGTGCTCAGCCTCAAGCCTGGGCTGAACGCTGGCGAGCGCAGCAGCAATGGTGGGAGCCTCTCCCACCTC